AGACCTTCTACACTATAAGATATATTAACCAAGTCACAAATAATAAGATTAATTATTTTTCAAAATGATAACTTGATCAATTTTCCAAAAAAAAACTCGAAAAAATTTAACATCTTTTATTATTGATTGTTAAGGTCTGTAATGGGATGGGCGGAGGAGGGGAGGGGGTAGCCCTAAAAACTCGAACTTACAACTTACACTCACTATTTTCTTCGAAAATATATGTGAGTTCCACAAAAGTACACAGATAATAGATTGCTCGTCACGATAAAGAACTAAATATTTTCTTTTAAACTTCATCATGCTTTATATTTAATCTCACTTAAAAGATTTTACATTCAAAATTTGAGAATTACTTTCTTAATCAAATAATACATACAGCTGAATTTCGACTTTGTAATAATGGTTTAGTACATCGTAACAATAATCGATGATCGCTATCCATTACGTATGTTTTTTTATCTAATGAATCTTCATCGTCATTATCATTTTGTTCTGTTTCATTTTCATAAAAATTTTTCTTATCATCTTCAAATGTCTATAAGTAAAATCACATAGAAAAAAAAGAATATTTCTCTCAAATTTTTATTAAAACCTTATCTGGATCAACAAATTGTGATCGTGCATATCTTGTTAACATATTTAAAACTGTAACTTGTCCCCATTCATCAATATCAACCAATAGATTACATAAACGTCGATAATTCTTATGTATTAAATCAATTCGTTCTGGACATACATGTTCAAATGCTTGTACAGCACTACCATTAACTAACTAAAAATAAAAGAATCAATAAAACAAAAAATAAACATTTGCTTTTTCTTACAATCGTTTTATCAGCAAGTAGTTTAGCAATAATTAAAATCAATTCATCTTTCAATTCTGGATCTAAACTAAATAATTAAAAAAAAAAATAATATAATCAAATGGATAAGACAATCGAATTATGTACGCATAAAGTTTTGCTATTGCATTAGCAGCTGTTTTTCGAACATAAGGTGACATATCGCTAACAGCATCACGAATAGCTAACATCATAATTGTTACAATTGTTGGAACACGAATACTAGATAATACACGTAATGCACTTGCACGAATTAATTGATTGGGATCCTAATATAGAAAAATTTTTAAAAATCATAGTGATCTTTTTATTGTTTACTTTTAATGCTCGTTGAAATGTAGCAATTGAAAGTAAAGCAAGATCTTGTTGTTCTTCAGCATAACGCATTAAATATACATAAACTAATTTTTTAACTTCCATATTTTTTGAAACAACATTTTTAACAACAGCGGGAAATAGATCAGCAGCATCTTTACCTTTCGCAATCATCTAAATAGTTGAATAAAAATAATAAAATTTTCTTTTCAATAAAGATTATTGCTTTTTATCTCTTACACCAATAATTCGACGCATAGCTTCTAATTTTAAATTATCTTTATTACTATCTAACATTTGTTTCAAATCTTCATATCTAAAATAATACAAAATGAAATAAAACTTTAAATCTATATGAAAATAATTAACTTACTTCTTATAATCAAGAGAAAAAATACTTAATGTTGTACTTGGTTCGGTTTGTTCATCAGATTGATTTGATGTTCCACGTGATGATCCCTGAGGATTCAATGTAGACATTGTTGTTAATGATCGTTCATTGATATTCATATTTAGGTTAGTTAAGAATACAATGTTTCGAATAAATATCGATTCAGAAAACAATAGAATGAATAAATCAATAAATCAATCAGAATCAACGATAAATTCACAATCGAACAGACAAATGTCCAATGAAGAATAAGAATAAGAGAGATGTCAGTGATAAACAAATACAAAGAAAAATATCAAACATAAACGCGTTTATATGTGTACATATATGTTCAAAGACGAATCGAAATAAAAAAGCAGAACGAAAATAGTTGAGACCCTAATTAAAAGTACTGAATTTTAAGGTTTTGAATAAATACATGAGTACTTGAAAATGAAATGTTTCTGGTTGTTCGACTTACGAGAGAACATATTTAGGTATTCAAGCCGTTTAGATCCCATCTTTTGGCGATAGATAGATCTCGATGAGGTATGCAAAACCCCAAAAGGATAAGTGCCCTTAGGCCTTCTGCTCAGAGTTATAGGCATTTTACTGGAATTTCAGTCTCAGGGATGGTATATACCAACGAATCAAATGATGGTATTTCTACTTGAGATTGTGCCCATATACAGGTCTATTTTTGAGTAAGGGTTTCTGAAAATTTCAGCTCAAAACAATGTTTCCTTCCCGAGATATAAAAGTCCCAAAAATCACTCATATCCCTCGAAGAATGCTGGGATTTTCCGTTTTTTGGGACTTTTATATCTCGGGAAGGAAACATTTTTTTAAGCTGAAANTTAAATGTTTAATTATGCGTTATTAAAACCTGAAATTTTTAGTGGATGTAGTTCATGTTAGGGCCAGATTATAATAAAAATTTCAGGTATTAATAACACACAACTGAAAACTTAGAAGCAAAAAAAGAGTGGCGCCACCTTCCACTGCCCACCCACCGCCAGTGAGTCGCCACTGTTCTAGATACGCCACTAGTTCAGACGAACGATAACTGTCACGCTAGAGGTTTCGGTGATTGTAACAATTAACGTGATATTTCTGAGAAAATAAAATTACTCATAGACTCATACGAATTTTTTATCTTATGAGAATTATTCGTTGGCTTTACCCCATCACATTTGATAGAACTATGACAGAGTCATTATGAGTTTCAACCTTGCATATCTGATAATATTCTCTTGAGCTCAGAGATTTTTATAATCTTAAAGAGACCTTCATAATTTAACGTATGCAATGCCATTGTCTTGCGTCTATCATAAAATTCGAAACTAATTTAGTTATTAAACTCTTTAGAAGCAGGTGTACCAAGGAGAAGCTATGATCAAACATTGTAATCCTTCCGTTTTACTAAGAACATTAAAATACAATGTCTTGTAAAACATTTTTTTGTTGGGAGAACACTTAGAAGAGCTGATAACTGTCCTTATTTAAATGGAAAGTGTGCAGAAAACGATACCGAATAATATTTGTGGTCGAAAATAAAACAATATCTGTTACTTGATTTGAATAGTTCTGTCTACATACCACATTCGAATCGGTGTCAAAAATTATATCTATCGGTCGTGCAACCAGACGATAGTCATAGTCTGTCGAAGATAATTCGTATCTGACTTGTGACATGTCATGATCCATACCACTGAATGGTCTCGTATAAAGCCAAATCTGTGATGATTTTATAATATAAGCAGCAGCCACTAGCCAATGTTTTTCTTTCAGCCAGAATGGTGATCGATATGAATCAATCAGAGAATCGAGGCCGACAATGAAATCATACCATTGGTTGCGATGGGAGAGAAAAAATTCAAATTTTTCTAGTGTCGACAATTTATTTTGAATGAATTGCTCCCAATCAAGACCATCAAATACAGAGTCTAATGTTCCTCTTTGAGAAATCAATTTGAAATGACGAAGTAAACGTGTCTCTGATAATAATAATTCAATGTGCTCTTTAGAAAGTGAACATTCAGTAATCGTAAGTGACATTAATCTAGTATTGGATGTGGAATTTGATGACGAAGACGTACTGTTTTCAGCGTCATTTATAACACAGTCTTTCATTACGAATGTTTGTAAATAAGACAATTGATGGAGAATAACAAGATAGTCCCTATAGTAACAAGCATGGATTGTCAGATGCTCTAGTCTGCATGGAGTTGGCCACAACATATATTGCAACAAATTACTCGTGTTATGTAAACAAAGCTTCCGAAGATGACATCGAACCAGTGTTGATGAGATGAGAGTTCCTATTCTTTGATGTTCATTTGTAGTTGAATCGATTGAAAGAGAGATCAGAGAGTTCGTCCTAATAATTTGTAAGAGATATTCTAAATGATTAACATTAAAATCTTGAAACGTTATTGAACGAAGTCGAATCCATCGATCACTATCGAAGAATGACAACAAAGTGGAATTTTCATGTATTTTGGTACTGTCGTTGGAGATATTCATTGAAATGACATTTTCAGGTCGAATTATACGATAAATCACGGTAAAATTGGACGTAGACTTGAAGTCAATGGTGAGACAAAACCGATCGTAGTTTTCCGCAAGCGTGTAAAAGTGTTTGCAGACGGAACGAAATGAAAACAGGATAGTTTCAGTGTCGCAGAAATCGAAAATACGATGGATTAACTCGACAGGCAAGATGAGAAGAGATATGTCTGCCATTGTCAACAATGCTTAAATTAGATGCAATTAACAGTCGTTACAACTATGTTTAGTGGTGATGCGATGTTCTAAAACATAATTGGACCTGTAGTAATGATTTCTGTTTGCTTCTCTATTATTCCAAGTGGCCTGAATGATTTTTTAAAGTCCATATGGATTTCTACACTTTGAATAAGGATCATCACTTTAAATGAAAACATTTTTTTGGAATGAAACATTGTGTGCGACAAAAAAAAACGCACCACTTTCATATTTATATTATGTGCATTGTGTTATGCAATTATATCGTGAAAATCGTTTTATCTTAAAAAACGGTTACCTATTCTAAGGCTTCACCCAAAAAATGTTCAGGCATTTGAACTAAAATATACTTTGTAAAAAGAAGACATTTTATTTCAGTCAACGACACCTCGATCCAAATGTGCAACTATCTGTCAAATGTAAAGAATTAGTCTTTCGAATAACTGACCAATGAGCGTTGAATTAAACGAGGGTGAGACGAAACATTGCTCAATAGAATTTTGAACTTTGATGCAATTAGATATAACAGAAAACAATATTAATATTTACCTCTCAATGATCTTTGCTTGCTTTTGCTCCGTTTATTTTGTCAAGAACAATGCATGATATGCGCTGTTTCGAAAACGTTACCTTTTTCTTTTCGATACAACATCTACTAAAAATATTGACATTGAATCATACTTAAATTTTTTCTTTTGTGACTATGATTCAGCTCGATTATTTTCGTTGGTTACGTTCTATAGTCTATAGTGTTATTTCACGATGGGAAGACTACTCATAAACAACGTAGAAAGAAAGTGGAGCATCAGTAACAATTATGTTCACTCAGTGAAATATCCAACATGATGGCATGTAACAGAAGTTCATATGAAAGCAGGATTCACCTTGATTTGTGTTACGATTGCTCATCACTTTAAATTGTTCCTGGAGATGGCGCTATCTTTCATAGTTTCGCATTCTGTCTTCAGATATGTTAAACACCAGTCCGATAAACTGTCTTCTTTTGTAAAACTTTAGTATAACAGGTTACTAATGACGTGGGTGTATGAATTGGTGAATATTTCTATGCGAATGGAAGCTAATGATGGTGGCTGTGTGCGTAGACGTTATTGTAGAGAAGACTAACACAGACATTAAAACACACTTAAATTCATAGACTTTCATCCACATCTATCCGCGTCCACCCAAAACCAATCTCACACTCACGCCCGTACCATTAAAATGCTAAAATTTCTCAAAATGAATGTTTGATTTCTTTCAAATTTTATACTTATGGCAATCGAAAATAACTCATACCTGTTTAACATTTCTCAATAGTTCATATGTGTCATAAATGAACCAGTGTTTATTGTTAAAATACTATGAAAAAAGAATTGTTTCTATATAAATGAATTATCAATACGATTTGATTAAGCGCAGTTGAATAAGGTCTTATATGATAGATATAACTTCAGTAATATTACAATTTATGATGTCTTTTTATAATTTCTCTCTTCGAACGAATTCACATGAATGTTTTTCTTGCACTTTTATTTGTTTTTCTGATTAAATCATCAATAGAAAAATATGATAATTAGAAAATAATTCAAAAAGTCAACATTATCAATATATCTTTAATGAATATCTTTGTTGTATTATATATTAAAATGAATTGATGGTCAGTTTCATATTGTTATTGTCTCTTTCCATCAAAATTGTTTATCCCCAGTTTACTATCGAGTATATAAGATATATTCTCTATCAATAACTCAACAATTCAATAGATTCTCTAAAGAAGATACACTTGAATCAAAACACGATTATTATTATCATTATTTCTACACATGAATACACATACTAAGTTCGAAGATCTATCAAATGAAATTTTCTTCGAAATATTTGATTATTTCCATGCACTTGAGATTTTTACTGCTTTTACTTCATTGAATCGACGAATTTCATTTATTTTACAATCGATTCCACTTCGTATTATTATTTTATCCGATCATTGTCATCGTCAAATTAATTTTCTTTCTTTTCATCTAACTTATAATGCTGATCAAATTACTTCATTAGAGGGTGTGGGTGGGAGGGGGTGTGGGACCCACAGACCCCACCCAAGTTTGAAAGACAAAAAAAATCTCTATTTTCTAGTAAATAGGTGTTCCTGCAGCGTCCTTCGATTGAAGAGAAATAGCAATCGACAATCGCACCATTACTATTGCATCGGATGTTATGCTGCAGTCCTTTGAACTCCCTTGAGGTCTCTTGAAGTTTCATGAAGTCTCATGGAGTCTTAAGATTTAGTGTTTATTAACAAAAATGAAGCGAGTGACAGGTGAAAATATCTTGACAAAGAATTACATGTCGGGATTGACTTTAAAATTGAAGAGTCAATTAACATAGAACTAGGGGAACTTTTCAAGTTTGAATTCAACCATGATCCATTTTAAAACCGCAACTTTTTTAAATATTTTCTAAAAAATCTTTAATAAAAATAGGATAGAGATGTACAGTTTTAGCTTTAAAAGGCCTGAAAACGAAGGATCAATGTTTGTGAAAAATGATTGATAGAAAAAAAACACATGGAAGTTTTCTTGGGCAAACCATAGGAAGTCTCAGAGTAACTTTTAAAAGTTTCTTTTTTTCACAAATCATGTCTGGTTTTAGTAGTGATCATGGTTTTTTACTGAGGACAGCTTTCATATTTTGTATAGTTTGGTGAGAATGATGTAAATAGATATACAACGGTGAAGTTAATCCTGATGGCAATATGATAATGATGTATATATAGGAACGGGTAGTAGATTCGTACGATAGACTTTCTTTAGCATAAAAAGAACTCAGTAATACAAAAATATTTTCATCGTTCATGTGTTTTTTTCTCAGTTATTGTATTCACAGATATTCCGAGAAATGCTTGAATTACATCACAAAATGTGAAGGTACCATCAGATAGAAACTTGATATCAGGATAGTTGGTTTGTGTATGTACAAAGAAAAATAATTAAGTCCTTTACAACACCATTTTCGTAGTTTCATAATCGTGCCTGATAAATTTCTCATCAGCAAATTCATCAAGTTTTGCCTAAATACACGGCTTCTAAAGGTAAAACTGTACATCTCTATTCTGTTTTTACTAAAGATTTTTTCGAAAATATTTAAAAAAGTTGCGGTTTGAAAATGGATCATGGTTGGATTTAAACTTGAAAAGTTCCCTTGGTTCTATGTTAGTTGACATTTCATTTTAAAGTTAACTAGTTGACTTAAAATAGAGAAGTCAACTAGCTCCATCTTAGTTGCCTTTTAAAGCAACTAAATTTTCATCTCAACTCCAACATATATATTTCAGGTAACTAAAAAATAACCCTTCGATAGAGTTTTTGCTTTTCAAGATGACAATTATCGAAAACACAGGTCACATATTGTCACTATATTGATAGATAATAAAGGTTTAAAATGTCTTAATTATCTCTATAAAACTGTTGATTCAAAGTCCATTGAACACTTATCGAATGAATTAAATAACCGCATTCAAAACGCGTATGCTAATAATGACAAATGAACATGAATTTAAAGAAATGTTGCTTGAACAATGGAGTCAATTTGAAGATGACGTTACTAAAACCTCAGTTGATTCCGTCGGAAATCGCTTAGAATAATGCATATAACGGACACAGTTTTCTACTCGATATCGCGATTATAGTTCATCTCGAAAAAAAAATAATCGAAAAATGAGAAGAACTTTTCAAATAAAATAACATTATATTTTATTTTAATTGCTAAGGTGCGGGTAATTCAAAATTACAGCAGTTTTTTTTTGTTTTAGCTTAAACATACATTTCTAGATTCAGTTTTTCACGCTGATCACGAATATGTCCTTAGTTTTCGTTTTTGATAAAGCTTTTACGGAGAAAACCCCAAAATACTGGCAGGATGCCACAATCTTCAAAAACAATTTTCTTATGAAGAAACAACCCTTAATTGTTTATCATTTCACTTTTTGTCCTCACCAATATGATTTTCAGATTCCTCATGGAGAACTGAGTCTAGAAATGTTGTCTACAACTTTACTGGACACTATTTTGCTTATTAGAAAAATTCATGATCATATGATGCAGCACCTAGCCTTGCAAACCTATCTACTTTTTTCTGTTGATAAATAGAAATTNATGATTAAATTTGTAATGAAAGAATATTAGTTTTTATATGAAACGATGCAGTATTAAACGCTCTTTCTAACCAATATAGATTGAGCTTGAAACATTGCCTAAGAGTCGTATATTTTGAGCTAATACCAGACAACTATGAGCCCAATGAAACTTCAATACTTTTTTGCACGTATTCTCCCTCAAAATAGCTTATAATCCTCATAGCTTGACTTGAAATTATTACCAAAGGAATCACCACATTTTTCTGAATAGGATAGGTGATAAAGTGACTGAAAATATCCTATGGGCCAAATCGGCTTTTTATGCGCCCCTGTCCTTTATTTGAAACTTGTTATCTTGAAGCCGATGAACTTCTATTTGAACAGAAACTTGAAAAATAGTTGAAAGATCAAAAACTAGAAATGCTAGTTGACAAGACCAACAAAACGATAAAAGAATTAGATATAACGTTGCAATCTATGGTTTAGAAGTTTTAATAGAAACTGAACTGTGCAGTTAGACAAATTCTAATCGGTTTATTAATTATGATTTTATCAAATAAAATATATTTAATTTTTCTCGACATACTGTGCTCTATTTATTATTGTGAAAGAGAAAAACTTGTTTCTAATGTCAATATTTGATTAGTATATACATACCAGAACTCACCAAATTGATCGACAATATTTATTCATAACTTTATTCTGTTGCGATAAGTGCTAAAAGTTATTTAAAGAAAAGTTTGAGAAAAAATATTATTTTTAATACGAAACAAAAAAAGAAAAATGGCTCCTAGATTCTCAAAGATAAGCAAAACTGAAGAGTAAACAGTTCTTAACAAAATGAAATGTCTCGCAGTACTGTGAGATGCTTTATGACGAAGATTCATGAAATTAACAGAACCACAGAATGCCAGCTTTTTTAAAATTTTGATGGCAGAAGACAAAAATTACTTTGAATGTTCCGTAAATTTCAAGGGCATTAATCGTAAAGCGTTCTTTGAAGAGCTGAGAAACATGTCATTTGGCAAAGAATTATTTGCTCTTTAGTCCTACATTGTCAAAACGATGTTTTGCTTCTGAATGATAGATTCTGAAAAAAACAAGGATTTAGTTTTCTAGAGAATAAGTCTTTGAAAGTCTAGTAATCATTTCTATTTACTTTGTTTCGCTGTAGAAGCATACTTTACTACTTAAATATTTCTTTGGATAATTTTTAGCGATTATCGCGAGAGAACAAACTTGAAAATAAATCTTAGTTGATCATTTTTATGATTCAATACATATACATATGCAATACATGCATTTGATTTTTCTTTCTATTACAGTCACGTATCTAACAAAGTGATGAATTCTATAATGAAGTCACATTTGTTACGCACATTTAATATTGAGTCTGAGCTCTTGAATACTCCACTTTTCTAAAATGCACTCTTAATAACAGAAGTTTGGTGTTCAAACAAATATCAGGAAAAAAACCGGAATTTACTACCTCCATTGAAACGTCAGACACACATCTGTACCAAGTTTTTTTGGAAAGAGAGAAACAAAAATAAATAATTATTTCTCTCAATAAAAATATGCTACACTGGAAAAAAAATTATTAGTATTTTGACTGATCCAGTTGACAATGGTATCAATACAGTTGTTGGCAGTTCTCGTATCTTTTATGATACTTGATGCTCGCTTTTCTTTATATTATTCTAATAGTGAATGGGAATCAAAATCTACATTCGATTGTTTATATGCTTATATTTTTGATTATGCTATTGATGAAAATGTACGTCAAACAGCGAATTTGAATTTAATTCCTTATTGTCAACGATTTGATCACAGCGTAGAACAACAACAGTTGTCCGTCAGTTTGTATACAAACGTAAAAAATAATATTACTTTTGCTGAATTGTATCGAAAAGGTGTGACAAGTGAACAACTACTCGATTGGTCAGCATCAATTGATGTTGCAGAACGATACGAAAAAAATGGTGAAAATTCAAATGAAATATTTCACAATTGTTCATTTCCTTGGTTTGGTTCTACATGCCAATATCGATTAGTAAATGGTACATCATCTACATTTACTGATGTTGTTCAATTTAATTTCGAAAAACGTTTTATGACACGGTCAACGATAAATTTGAATACTAGTATATGCTATCCATTTTTAACTGACTGTTATCGTGGTCCATCACCAATGTGTCTTGAATGGCGTGAAATTTGTGATGGTATTGTTGATTGTATACATGGAGAAGATGAACAGTTATGTCAAATATTAGAAGTAAATGAATGTCATGATAATGAATATCGATGTCATTTCGGTGGACAATGCATCCCGTCTACATTTGTTCGTGACGGAACGAATAATATAGATTGTCTTGATGGCAGTGATGAAATAGATCTAATTGAGACACCCTTTTCCTATGAAAAAACTCGTTGCTATTCTAGCCCGACATTTCGATGTGAGGAATATAGAAGTCGACGTCCTCTCAATTTTCCATGTGGTGATGGTGACATTTGCCACCATTTGATACCTCAATGGGGAGTTTGGTGTATTAATCTTCGAGATAGAAAAATGACTTCAGCTATGTTTAGTTCACTAGATTATATTTCGAACTTAAATTGTAGACAAATACTCAGCTGTTTACTTCGTCTTTATCTATTTGATGATATGTTTCCGGAACAAAGCCGTGATCTTTGTCAAAAAATTGTCAATCATTGCTCATTGAAATGGCTTGTTTGGCCTGAATATCCTATCCTATATGGTTTCTTTCAATTTGTTTACTTAAATAATCAATCAATTCCTGTCTTCGAGAAAAATATCATGCCTGATTATCTTTGTTTCAATGCAAGTTACTGTCCTGCATTGATATTCTGTACAGAAGATATTGGAATAAATAATGGATTCAATTGTTGTCGAACTAATAGTTTAAAAAATGACACAGTTTGGCGATGGGATGAAAATTTTTATATCATTTTCAAAGATCTCATTTTACAATGTTTGACAATGGGCACAGATCAAGCATGTTCGCATCCTTCTTTATTTCACTGTTCACGTTCGTCGAAATGTATTTCAAAACATCGACTAAATGATGGTGAAAATGACTGTTATTTTGCTGAAGATGAATTATATTCTGCTTGCCAACTGAATGATTCATGGCGGTTCACTTGTGAATCAGAAACAAATAAATGTTTATCGATTATCGCTGTCGAAAATGGAAAACAAGATTGTTGCAATGGTGAAGATGAATGGAACGAATATCAACATCAGCTTTTCAAAGGAAACATTCCATTTGGACTCTTTTGTAATGGTAAGAATGATTTGAAATGGACAGATATATCTAATGAAACCGATGAAACTCATTGTGAATGGTGGCCATGTAATAATCCATATGTTCAATGTGATCATTTTTGGCATTGTCTAAATGGTATTGATGAACTCAATTGTCCTGAAACAGAATGTACATTTAATGAACACTTGTGTAGAAGTCGAATCCATGATGAGGATTATTGCATACCGATATTCCATCTAACGGAACAATATTCATATTGGAATACTTTTCTTGTCTCTCGTAGAATCTATCTTTATAATGATTCTTATAAAGATTCTATCAATTATTTCCAATGGAATGAAACAAAATGTATCACTTCAGCACATATCTCTCTCTATCAACCGTTATTACCAATGGCACATGAAGATGTTTGTTTAATACAAACTAAAATGCCACGTGCTTTTCAAATAGCAACTGTCGTTATGAAAGCCATTAGTCACGATTTCTTGTGCATGCTAGTAGGAGACAATTCGTGGATACCAGAACCGAAAACATATCTAAGAACTTCTCGATTGGGCTATTTTCCATCAGCTCTTTCTAGTGTCGATGTTCGACAAGCTGCTCAACTTGATAGAAAAACAGTTATTAGTTCGCCATCGATTCAAGACGTGTGGTATTGTAATCGAGGAATAGCTATGCTATTCGAAACCAATAAAACTCTTAAATGTCTTTGTCCTCCGACTTACTTTGGTGATCGATGTCAATGGCAAAATCAACGTATTAGTTTAACATTTCAATTAGTATACCATACTACTAAATTTGGGATATCCGTATTTCAAGTCATTATCATGCTTATTGATGAACAAAGACAAATAACATCTTATCATGAGCAAATCACATATGTACCCAAACGTGATTGCGGAACAAAGTTTAATATCTACTTACTTTATCCTTATCAACCGAAAAATTCTTCGACTAATTATTCAATACACATCGATGTTTTTGATAAAATTACATTAACATATTGGGCAAGTTGGCATCTATCAATTCCCTTTCAGTTTCTCCCAGTAAATCGAATAGCTACTCGATTGTTCATTCCAAATATACAACAATTAAAATCGTGTCCATTGTCTTGTGGAACTCATGGTAGATGCATACGATATATAAATAAAAATTTCTTATATTTTTGTCAATGTGATCAAGGTTATTCGGGTTTACAATGTGATATTCAACAAAATTGTTCTTGTTCATCAGATTCATTTTGTCATACTCCATCTATTTGTATTTGTCCGTTACACAAATATGGTCCACATTGTTATTTAAAACATTCAATTTGTCAATCATCGAATAATATATGTGTAAATGATGGACTATGCATGCCTAATGATGATCGTAGTGATAGTAACAAATCTACATGTCTATCAGAGACTGACGGGATGCGGGACCAATCCTGTCCCGTCCCGTCCCGTCTCGTCCCGGGACGGGACGGGAGAAGAAAAAAATAAGTAGGGCGGGACTGGACAGGACACGGGACAATATGTAGCGGGATGCGGGATAGACGGGACTCAGTGCTTCTCCCGCTTACTTCCATTAATAGAACAAAAAACAAAATAATAGCCTATGTCGAGTACTACAATAGCGATTGATTTTCGCACAAGAGTAGAATAATGGTTATGGAAGAAGTCGATTATTGTTTCAACAGACATTGAGATAGAAAAAGAACAAAATTGACGGAGACAGAAAAGAAACAATATTGGTGGAGAGAAAAAAAAGAACAATATTTGTGGAGAGAAAAAAGAACAATATTGACGGTCAATTTGAATTGAATGAGATAAATGGTGACCGAAGAATGAGATAATGACTATAATATAATTCGTCTAACATTGAAAATGGAATAAATAGTTACGTGCTCATACAGTTGTTCATTCTGTGTTTTTCGACACAAGTGTTAATTTCGAAA